GTAAAACCCACATGACAAAAATGTCCTCAGCTAGCTCCACTAAAATATTGTGAGTTCATCATAGAAACTATATCACTCATGACAGCATGCAGTTTTCTGTAAGTAAGCACTATAATTCCACTTACCAGGGCTCCATCCTATGAGATCCTGGGATTTGCAGTTTGTTGTTGTTGTTGTGTGCCTTCAAGCCATTTCTGACTTATGGCAACCCTAAGGTAAACCTATTATGAGGTTTTGTGGGGCCAGGAATGTGTTACTTATTAAAGGTTTCTATGGCTGAGCGGTAAAACAAACCCTGGAGTTGTAATCCAATGCTCAAACTATTACACCATGCTGGCTCTCATTCATAGTTTAGCAAGGGTTATTTTGAATTCTTATCCAGGAAGCTCTAGTGCAGTGGTTCTTAACTTGGGTTCGATCGAACACCAGGGGTTTGGTGAGTCAGTCTCGTGGGTTTGGCGGAAGTCAAGACACACATCCAATTCATATGATTCGTGATGACACGCCCCACTCGTCCATCATTGGCTGCAGGTGATAACCTGTATATGTTTTATATTTATATGCCCCATCCAACCAAACCAGCTTGCCCCGCCTCCACTGACAGAAGTGGCCCTCTGATTGGCCATGTGGCGTGATTGACAGCGCGGTGGCCCACTCCCCTCACCGGAGTGCGCTGACGGTCCGTCTGTATTGGCGGTAGAAGGGTTCAGTGAATGTGTAAGAATCGTAAGAAGGGTTCGGTGAATGCGCATATGAAACTGGTGGGGGTCAGTACCTCAAACAAGGTTAAGAACCACTGCTCTAGTGCTTCTGTAAACTTCAATCCCCAGAATTTCATGGGAAGTTGCAATGACAGATTAAAGTGGACACATAGTGTTATAATTGTGTAAAGCGGAAAGGCCTCTGTTACAGTCTCAAAGCTGGTGAATGTCAGTTTTCACACCAGAATGTTCAAGCATGTTCAGATTTGTGAATTTCTCAAAATCCAGCTGTATGTTGGTGACTTGCCATAAATGACACTATTGTTGTGTACCACCATGCATCTGACAATAGGGGCAAATGGCAATGAATGCTGATATTCACAAAATTTGTCTGGGATTGACTTATCTTGTTGCATATGTGTCCTGTTTTTTCTCCTAGAAGCTGAAGCTGCCATACCTAGTTCTTATCCCACTATTCTATCCTCACAACAGTCCTGTGGGATGAGGCAGACTAGAAGAAAGTGACTGGCCCATGAATGCTGAGTGGAGCAAATACAATGTTAGTCCTAACTGGAGTAGACCCTTTGAAACCAATGGGACACAATGTTAGTTTTGACAAACCCCGTTTATTTCAATATGTCTGCTGTAGTTACAACTAATGTTGGATTGAACCCCACTGACTATGCAGTGTTTTGAAATATTACAATGCCATACGTTTCTGGTTTTTCATGGGAATATGTGTAATTTGGATATAAAAAGCAAAACGGATGCCTTGCCATGTTGCTTCTCCTCTTCTAGTATGCAAAGTATGGTGCATTTGAATTGTAAATGTTTTCTTTATGTTAATACAAATTTATATGTAAATCCTGGATGAAGGTAGATTTCCACCTCATTATACATCCCTAAGTCTTATTAGCATTAATGGGAATTATGCAAACCGCCAGGGCTTGACAAGGCAGCTGCCTGAGGTGAACAACGAGTCCCATCTCCCTTGCTGTTCCATTTACGTTGGGTTCCCGTGACAAGACAAATCAGTGGTGATTCCACACACTGGGTGGTTATATACCAGCTCATTAGTATGGTAATAATCCTTCCTATATTTTCCATGCTGTGTTTTCCAGATTAACTTGTGTCACTTTTGTTTACACCTTTTCACAAACAAGAAGGCTGCTGAGCTTGCCTTACTTACCATAGTGTTCTGGGAACTGTGCTGGATCTCTCAAATTTCCTTCGCGGGTATGTACTGAAATTAATGTTAGTCTTCACTTGTACAGCACAATTAATTTTAAGCCCCTCACACTTTGAGGTTTCTCCTTTCTTGTATCCTGTCACAGTTTCTGGGAGGAATCAAAAGCACTTTATGGCTAGAGACAATGACCATATCAGAGCTATAATCATAACATGCATGCTGAGTGGCTCATCCGAGTGGCTGAGATGTGACCCAGAAACTTCCCTCTTCACACTATGAATTTGCTGGACTTAAGCTGTTGCCCCACTGCAGAATGAATACAGTTTGATACCGCTTTAACTATCACGGATCCATCCTATGGAATCCTGGGATTTGTAGTTTGTTGTGTAACTCTCAGAGAAGACTAAATATCTCACAAAACTACAAATCCTAGAATTCCTTAGGACTGAGCCAGGGCAGTTAAAGTGGTGTCAAACTGCATTCATACTACAGTATAGATGCATCCCTAGCCAATGAATGGAAGAACTCTTCCCTCAGCTTTAAAATGGATATACCGTAGGTAGCACCTCATGCAATACCAATGCTGAAGGTATCTCACATGATTGGAACCCAACCTAGTTTCCAGTTTTATAAAGGTGGTGATAACAACATTTGTCTTCGACTTTGAGCTGACCCTTCTTTAAGGAATTCATATAGAGTGGTTCTGAAAGGCTTGAAATGACTTTGAATTTGCAACCAGAATATTTTAAGCCTAATTGGTTAGGTTGATGGGTTCACCCAGGGCACCTTCCACTAAAGACTGGTTTCTTGGTGTGTTATCTATTAAGATCACAGTAACAAGCACAAGTAGGTAGACAGAAATAGAATGATTCTATTGAAAATTTAGTTTTTTTCTTTAGGTACTGGAACAATAAAATTTGTAATGTTGCTCATCTGTATGCAGAATACAGTGGGCCCTTGTAGAGGCTCAAGTCCCATTAAATACAAAGGTGTAGTAAAATTGTGCCCCTTATATAAAATGGCAAAATCAAGGTTTGCTATTTGGAATGTGTACTTTTTAAAAATAGTTTCAAGCCATGCATGCTTGAATCCGTGATAAAGGATCCGTGGATGCAGAGGTAATATGATTTGGGTCCTGGCTATCTGAAGGATTGTATCTTCCAGTGTGAACCTGCTTGACTTTTTGAGATTATCAAGGAAGGACATTTTCTTGGCCCATAATCTTAACAGGCACATTTGGTTAGGACATGATAGGGAGGACCTTCTCTGTGGCTGTTCACAAGCCATGGAACTGGTTCCTGTGAGAATTTCAGGCTCCCTCTCTGTTCTCCTTCCATTGACAAACAAAGACCTTATTTAGACTGGGCTTTGGCCATCAACCTGGTTTCTGCAGTAAGATATTTTAATTGAGGGGGGAGCTTTGGACTTTCTCCCTATTTTTTTATGTTTAAAATGCTTTAAAATAGTTTTAACTCAGTGCTGTTTTAATAAAAACAAATAACCCATATAATAGTATTGTTTATATATTATATGGCTTATTTATTATTATTAAAACAGCAATAATACTATTGTGAGAAACAGGGTGGCATAGTGGTTTGAGCATTGGGCTACAGCTCTGGAGACAAGGGTTCGAATCCCTGCTTGGGCTTGGAAACCCACTGGGTGACCTTGGGCAAGTCACATGCTCTCAGCCTCAGGGGAAGGCTGAACAAATCTTGCCAAGAAAACCCCGTGATAGGGTTGTCATAAGTCAGAAATGACTTGAAGGCACACAACACAACATGCTTTATCAAATTTGCAGATGACACTAAATTAGGAGGACTAGTTAATACCCCAGAGGAGAGAATCAAAATTCAAAATGACCTTAATAGATTAGATAGCTGGGCCAAAGCTAACAAAATGAATTTCAACACAGAAAAATGTAAGCTACTGCATTTAGGGCAGAAAAATGAAATGCATAGCTATTGGATGGGGGACACTTGGCTTAACCCTAACCCTAACCCTGTGTACATGTGAAAGGGATTTGGTATCCTATTAGACCACAAGTTGAACATGAGTCAACAGTGTGACGCAGCAGTTAAAAAAGTCAATGTGATTCTAGGCTGCATCAATAGAAGTATAGTGTCAAGATCAAGGAAAGTATCGGTAATAGTGCCACTCTATTCTGCCTTGGTCAGGCCCCACCTGGAATACTGTGTCCAGTTCTGGGCACCACAATTCAAAAAGGATGTGGAGAACCGGGAGCGTGTCCAGAGGAGGGCAACTAAATGTCTGGAAACCATGCCCTATGAGGAGAGACTTAGGGAGCTGGGTATGTTTAGCCTGGAGAAGAGATAGTTAAGAGGTGATATGATAGCCCTGTTTAAATATTGGAAGAGATTTCATATTGAGGATGGAGACTAGGACATGGCACAATGGATGCAAGCTACAGGAAAAGCGATTGCACTTCAACATTAGGAAGAACTTCTTGATGGTAAGAGCTGTTTGATAGTGAAATATGTTGCCTCGGAGAGTGGTGGAGTCTCCTTCTTTGGAGGTCTTTAAACAGAGGCTGGATGGCCATCTGTCAGGGATGCTTTGATTGAGAGTTCCTGCATGGATGGCCCTTTTCTGGTCTCTTCTAATTCATTCTATGCACACACACACACACATATTGTAATAGTAAATACTCATAGAATAGAAGAAGATGTTGTAATTTGCTTTGGTGGTATGTGACCTTGCTGTGTATATTGTTGCATATTGTTGGCAAAATGGTATAAACTGATTTCCATTTTTTAAAAGGAGAATGCTACATTTTATGCAGTGATGTGCTAAGAATCCTTCAGGATTCAATCTGTTTCTGTGGACATGCATAAGAACACAAAACTTTCTTTGTTTCATTAGACCAGTCCTCTTGCAATATCTCATGGTGTAATACATTGGGGAAGCCCACCACCTGGGTGTGATGGGGTTCCTTTCTCCCTTTCTTTTGTCTACAGCAGGGGTAGGCAACCTTTCCCCTTTAAGGGCTGAGGGACTTCAGCTCCCAGAAACCCAGGAGCTATTGGCCAACATGGGACTATTGGCCAACATGGCTGAGGCTTCTGGAAGCTGAAGTCCCTCGGCCCTTAAAGGGGAAAGGTTGCCTACCCCTGGTCTACAGCATATGGTTCATAGATCTACCTTCCATTACTTTTCCTGTTCTTCTATTTCTGGAGAAGTTACTTTTTGGAGCCAGGAATCCAAAGAGTTGGAGTGTGAACATTTTTTCAAAATGCTGTAACAAGATACTTTTATTATTGTTTGTTGTTGTGTGCTTTCAAGTCATTTCTGACTTATGGCAACTGTAAATAATAATACAATAATAATAAATTTATTTCTATACCGCCCTGTGACAAGCCAATCCGGGCGGTGTACAAGTATAAAATACATACAGATTAAAATAGTACAATTCCCTCCTCCCCCCCTTAAAAGATTATTAAATCCCAACACAATTAAAACGATCTACAATTAAAACACAACAAAATTAAGATTAAAATACTAATAAAATACAAACCAACAAACCCCTGCGATTTCAAGTTCTAGCGGGGAATATAAATTATCCTAAAAAAGAGGGGGGAAGGCCCAAGATCCCGCGGCCATGTGATTTAGTCTGGAAAGGCCTGCCTAAAGAGATCCGTCTTGACAGCCTTTTTAAAGCTGTCCAAAGATGTTAA